TGATCTAATTTTCTATTGTACCTAAAAGCACGTATTAAATATTCAATAGTACTAATTTATTAATGGAACCGAAATTACTTGTTCATTGAATAGATGACCCAAATCTTTAAATGGTACTGCATATTAATGACATGACTAATGAGATCAGTATTAAGTATTTTACGCAAGTGGGTCAGAGTACACAATAAGATAGGACTGGGTTGTTTTAGAATCCGTACATTCGTCTTTCACTACACTAATCGATAGGTATTTACGTATTAACAGAATGTAAATGGATATTGAGACATCTCGTGCCTTGTTCCTTTTAACTTACAGATGAAAGTACAGGAAATTATGGCAAACGATTTATAGATATAGCGTTTACGATACAAATTCTTGGGTGAGCGATCGTAACTTTAATCTGCAATAAAATTCACGACAGAAGTCTTGGAAATAAAACTAAACACAAACCAGACACGTGAGGAGGAAAATATCCAAGTAACTACAATTTACAATACTACTGCAAGTAAAAATTAAACGTGGACCTCATAGGTGTGCACGAAATACTCCTACAATGCCATTTCATATTACAATTGTACGTAAGTAATTTGAAATTACAACTAAACTAATTATCGATAACCAGTCTTCAAATTTTTTGAGAAAAAAGAAAAAGTTATGTAGCCTAGATAAAAATTTGTTATAACATTAACTTTTATCTTGGATATTTGGCAAATTGCATATATTTTGCATATTCTTCGCATAAATATGCAACCTACTAGGAACATAGAAAATATACTCTGAATTATACTATTGTACATAGACTACTATATAAAACATGGATATCATTTGTATAAACATTTCAAATGTGCATTCGAATTCTTTCAGGTCACATATAAATTTCCAGTTGTATGATAAATATAATAAAAACCATAAACTATGTTAAACTAGTAAAATTAATAATAATAGTGAGTATTAAAAGAAAGTCAAGAAATTTCGACACAGTATTAGTGCAAATTTAAATGTGCCCCTAATATGTATATAAAACAACAAGATTATAATTTAACCCTAAACCTAGCAAACCTAATTAAATGAAAAGCAAAGAAAGAACAGAATAAGAATAAGGAAACTCAAGTGACTAAAAGTGCACTTTATAGCCCATGTTTCTCTGCGAGTTTAACACCAGTGCTCTCAATAAACGTACTTCTCAAGATTATGAAGCATAATAACACAGTAGTATTATTTTCTGGAACCCGTATTATTTCCACCTGTTCTTTTACAACACAGCATATTCCTGGAACTATTATAATTCTACAGTTGGAGCGTAACTGTATTATACTACAGCGACACGAGAGTTACCTGTGCACTCGTACAATCCAATAAAATTACCCAATACAGAACTTCATCATACCTCTGCCGAATTCTTGGGTCAAACATCGGGACGTGACAAGGAATCAAATTCCTACGTTCGATCACGTTATGAGTACTTCACGGGAACAGATGTCAACGACGAGCAGGAACGACAGGGGTCACGTAGAATGTATCGAGCCACTGTCAATTGCCATTTCGTTGAGACCCCGCGAGCTGAGGATGCGTCAGTTATTACCCAGCGCAGTTGTTGTCAGTGGAACGTCTCAGAGATCGTAAAGTGATCATTCGGTAGGCGATCTTGAAATATAAATTTACCTCGTGTACCACGTTCACGTTGGGAACGCGTTTCCCGCGTGCCCAGCCGAGAGCCTTTTCTAACCCGTGTGCAAATCCGCAGGAAGTGAACGCGGCCTCTGGACGTGGGTGTGCCTCGTACGTGTGCCGAGGCTTGGCGTTGTTCCAACCCGCGTTTCTGGCCACAAGGAAACGAGACGAACGCCGAACAGAACGATCTTAGGCTTGTCAATCGGGAAAGTCGATCTGCTTGGCTGATGTGGCTCCCTGAAAATGAACCACAATGAGAATCAGTAAATGAGCATTGTTTACATGGACTTGGGGATCATCGTTTGTTTCTATGTTGGATTCAAATTGAGGGTGCTTCTGAAAAAGGGTGCCATCTATTGGCAAACCTTTTGTGGTCTTCTTGGGTGTCTAATGAACTGTCATGTAATGAAATTTGAATTTAATATTTTGGAAATTGAAATATTTGGGGAAGATTTTATAGACTATGTGGAAATGGGAATTATTAAAAATTCTGATGCTATGTACTCAATTAGCCATTTTAACTTGTGAGTACTTGTTTCAGTTGTAGAGAGTATTAAATTGGTAGGTGAATAGTGTTTTCCTTATCAGACACTAGTTATGGTATAACATAAAAGATAATGACATCAAAATCTTAAATTCCTTGGTCTAAAACTGTGATTTTCAACCATTTTTCCTTGGGTATCATCTAATCAAAGTGTAATTCCTATATAATTTTAAAATTAGATATAATTTTGTGAAATTTAAGTATTAATTGGAAATATTAAATGTACTATAGAAAATACACCTGACATAGGTTGAGAGTCACTGATGTAGACCAATGCCTTTCCACGAGTAAAAGTTGATTACTACTGGCATAAAATTGTAAGACATTTATATAAAATAATAAATTATAAAAGAAATATAATAAATACAATACAAAAGATTAGTATTTAAAAGATAACAAAAGCATATGAATTTAAAAATTCAATAAACTTTTAGTATTCAAATATTCCTATACTGCATTCAATAATTTTTTAATTTAAATATATCTCATATTTCATCATTTATATTTTACCATTAGTGGTAGAAAATTCTTGTAAATTCAACTTCAGTTTTACAACTGAATTTTAAAGAAGAGAAGGTATTAGCCACTGCGACAATGCAACGTAAGCACGTGGTAGACTGTACCAACTACACAAAGGACAGTGCATTGTGTTGGTTAAAAGTACCGACGGTACGTGTAGAATAATATTACTGTAGAAAGTGTGAAGGTTTCGGGTAGAGGTTCAACCTGATATTTAGAAAGTGGAATTTTTAGAGATGCGTACGTGGTTTGTATTTCTATATATTCGTGGAATTTGATTATTTTTCGCAATTCTTTTTACTTTGCCACTATGTAACTCCATGTGTATAGGTTATGAAACTCGAGAATTATTTAATCTGGAAAAGAAACATTGCGCGTGAATTGCCAAGAATGGACGAACAAACCGAGCAAGAAGAGAAATATGAGAATATCGTTGAATGGATTCAACGATAGCTTCTGTTGTTTCAATCTGGACGTACCCTGAGCCCCTTGAGTGCTTTTCGGCACGAGGAATTCGTAAATATTTCGCTCATATGCTAAAATAAAGCGCCTCGTAGAGTGCGTCAGATTTTGTAAGCCTCGTTGGCTGATTCATTGGTTGTTATGTAGGAAATCGAGCACTCTGTTTTATAAAATAAATTTCACTGCTACGGATATTCATAATATTCTTTAAAATCTTCTAAATATTTCATGACACGTTGTATATTATTTTCTTATATACGTACAAATCATGTCCAACTTGAAAATTCTTCAATTTTTTCCGCGGTAATAATATTCGATTTAATTTCGTCCAATCTTTAATATAAGCAATTCAATAAAATTGTTATGGAGTTTCAATTGCTTCTCTTCATTCTGTAAACCTGCCATTATATTATATATGTAAATAGGGAAGCTACATTGGAATACATACACTTACGAAGATAGGAAAAAGCAAACTCAAATATAGGTTAGAAACGTCAAAATATCGTGCTGTTGTTGGGCTATTTTAATAGCATTTAAAATTCGCATAAAAGAAAACGGAATACCACGTGGAACACGATAAGAAATATTTCCATAAATTACGACAATAAATTTTCTTTCGGTTCCATTTTATTTCGAGATTTACACAACGAGTCACGAGTGCACGCGAGCGTCCACGGAGGCTTTGACTTCGAAGTAAGAAACAGATTAAACCTATCACGTTTCACGATATTGTATTCTAACCGTGTCTTAGATCGATCCCAGGAGGCTTCCCAGCAAACTTCACGGAAATCACGACATCCTTAATGACGCAAAGATACGTTTGATCAATATTACGACCTGTATTTTCGTTCTACTTAAATCTTGGCAGCTTGTGCAGCGATCATAAATGCAATGCAAAAGATCTGTCAAAGCAGTACTGCACGCGATTAGGTTATATTCTGTTTCTTACGTTACGAGAGTCCTTATTATGTTCCTACGCCTATAAATTCTAATTGAATTCGAATAACTATAACTATCATGAAATTAGGTCGCAAGAATTATACGATAGGTTATTGCATAATACGTTAAAGACTCACATTTGATAGAAAGTATATAATATTACGAAGTATATTACAAATACATATGTAAATTGAAATTGTAATTTATTTATAAAATCACGTAATTATAGTATTTTATTAAGTATTATTTACCTGTTTATTGATGTCGCGTTAAATTTTGTAGAAGTTTTTAGAAGAAGACTTTCTTATTGTGTCAAATTCTCAATTTGAACATTTATAGAAGTTTCGAAAGTTTAAATGGCGACGGGCGCGCAACGAGGATGCACTCGAAACGCCATCTGGAGTCGTTGCTTCCGGTATCGAGCAGCAGTAGAATGGCAGTTGCGCGCAAAAGTCTGTTTATTTACGTGCTGTCGATGATTAATTGATCGCGAAGTCGCGTCCACAAGCGATATCTGATGAATGCGTCCAGTAATAGTGAAATTGAAATGGTGCATATGTGAAACACACTAAACACAAGCGTAGAATTAAAAGAGAAACGCAGTGAATGTCGCGGTCGAAGAATTCAGCCTGTCGTCATCGTTCTAACCTATTTTCCGAAACATTGTATTCTTCATTCTGGAATTTTCCGACGCGCTGTCAACGTTTGTTTGCCAACGGTGATTCGGCATGATGCCATGTTCCCACAAACGTTAAGCACAGAACCGTGCAAAATTGTTAGCATGGCTGACGAAGTACTGCCGGCGAGTTTGGAGAAGCTCGAAATTGATCGTCTCTCCTCGAGTTGTCCTCAGTAAGCATTTACCGCCGAAAGCTCATTTAAAGCGCCTGCTCCTCGCAACTGTCCCTTTCCAGTCCCTCGAACATTCTGAATCTTCGTGTGTCCGTTCGATGTATCGGATCGCGGCGGTTTTGCGACTCAATCCATTTTCACGCGCGGTCAAGGTCTTCGGTTAACGTTACCTCATTTTGCAAACTACGTGACGATTTCTGTTTACGTCGGATGTGTTTTTGATGTGTTAATGATGCAAGCACTTGTGAATACGCATTTTAATGATCGTTATTTCTTATTTTCGATGGTGCGAAATAACAACATTGAATGTGATCAGTAAGCAACACAAAATGTTTACATATTTCGAGCGAGATTAAAGGGTGTCACGGAGTTTTCTATATTTACGAAACGTTCTTCTTGAATAATTTACGCGTCAATATGGCCAAGAAAACTAAAATAGAATATGAGTGAAGTGGAGAAATTGATATTATTAATTGAAATTTGTTAATGTGAATGAAATATTTCTGAATATGATTTAATTCAATTAATATTGCATTTCGTATGTTTGTAATATGAATTTATGTACTTTGATATTATTGCATAAGAGATGAAAGAACAGACGTTTACCAATATTTGATTCAAGGTTATGTGCTAAGAATGATGAATCATCACTAGATGATTTCAAATCATTTTTTTTGTTAAAACTTCAATAATATTCCCAAATTACCTTTCCAACCAGATTTTATTTAAATTTATTTATAAGAATCATTTATCACTAATAATTATATTTTTTCAATGTGATTTTAATTATTAATATTTTTTATTGTTTCAGTATTACACCTACTGACAAAGCAAAGTCGCCAAATCCATTTAGAACAAGTAAAAGTGTCAGTTCTGACTGCAGTCATTTATTTCAAAAAAGATTGATGCCTATAAGGCCAACATTAACTACAATCAGCCCCAGAGGCGTAAAAAGCACAACGAATTTTAAACCATCAAAAAATGAAAGAGTACTTGATAAAAATAAAAAAAACTCAATAATCAAAGAGGCTGTTCTAAAATTAAATGATACTGGCACTAATTGTCTTAGTGATAATCTAGCAAGTACATTGCTTAAAGAAACATGTAAATTTAGTATTTGTGGTAAAAATACAAAAATTTTTGGCCATGGTATGGTCACAAAAGACTTTAAAGCACTGAATATTAGTCAAGAGTCTAGACAAGCTAAGGATGATACGAGCATTCAAGATAATTATCAGGCTAGTAGCTTTCAACGGGCACGCAGTAATACGATGCCAAGCTTAAAAAGAGGGCCTGGTCCAGGTGGAGGTAGTAATAGTCAGTCAGAAACCACTGGTACAACTGGCCAACCTTCAAGTTCAAATACATGTTCAGTACAAGCACGAATATCTCCACCTTCATGCGATGTCACTATTGACGAGCTTGCCAGCTACTTCGAGGAGTTTGTTCATATTCCAAAGAAGATGTCACACATGGCAGAAATGATGTATATTTAATTATAATATATTAAATTGTAACAGAAAGATTTCTTATACAGTTTTTGAAAAATGTTTCATGCAACATTTATGTATGATCAGAAGTCTAAATACTGTATGTTTGCTACGAATCCAATTTAATTTGGTACCTAAATTATATATAATATACAAAAAAAATGATAAAAAATAAAAAAAAAAAATCTGCGTTTTTGTAGAAGAAAAGAGTATTAAAAATGATTAAATTTAAATATCATTTTAGAAAAGTGATAAAAAACAAAGGGTAAAAATTGTGAAGATAATAAAGCAAAATGTATATTTGTTTTTAAAAGTCGTTTGTGTCAAACTATTTCATTTAATTTGTAATGGAAAGATTTAATATCTTCGTTTATAAAATTTTTGTATTGCGAAATGAAACATTGGTACTAGAATAAATTTCTTGCAATTAATGTCTTGTATTATTCAAATTCCCAATCTACTGTGTGGTGTTCATTTACCGAGAATAATATCGCATTATATGGATAAAATATACGAATATCATTTGACACTTTCCAATTAATATGATACATAATATATTTATCTGCATAGGCTTATGGTACTTAATACAATGATACAAAGTAACCGTTAAATTACTTAATGATAATAAGCTTTGGTACGTAAACAATGACGATATATTGATCCATTTTTACTTTAGGTACGAGTGAACCATGTTGACGCGCGGTGTATTGTGAAAATCTTGACAAAAGCCTAAATGCATTAAAAAATATCCATCTATTTGGTGTGCGCATCACGTGACGACTGTTTTCATTTTTAACATTTACAAACAGTTATTAAGCAATTTCTGACATGTTAATTTCGTTGGTAGCTCCGCGCAATAGTCAAACTCTGTATCAAAACATGAGGTCTGTCACTATATCACAGATTTATTAAAATTTCATTTGAACGGAGCCACAACGAAACAAATTTTCAAAGTAGAAAGATCAAACCAAGTGAAAAAGATGTATTTCATAATTTCGGGCACATTTTACGAATCATACAAGTAAGGAAACTATCATTTTATGAAAACTTGTTTCCAAGCCGAGAGACGCGATGTTTGACAAAATCAAAATAATGGAAAACGAAAAATAAATGAACGACATATTACGATACATATTTTAAAGAATATGCTGAATGTTACGACTTTACGATAATTAAGTAGTAAAAATAGCTATTTGATAAGAGTAGTAAAAATAGAATTAGTGTTATGAAATAGTACTTGAGTGACAATTATGATGACAAATATTTATAGGTTACAAAAAATTTAGTTGAAAACACTTTTAATTCTATACCTTAATATCCTATACCTTAGTATCCGTGAATAAACGAATGAACAGGAAATACTAGAAAATCGATAATTTCATGTAAATCAACTAGCATACTACATACCGAAAATACAACGACGATATTATTACACTTACAATGACTCCATTAATAATTTGAACATGTTTATGTTAGAATCAGTTTAAAATACGTGGCGTCTCCCGACCAGAATTCAATTTCGAATACATCGTGCAATACATCGATGAAAGTTTTAAGTTTTTTGTTGCTCTAATTTTATTCAAAAATTCGTCGAAATTTATTATTTCAAATACAATAGAAAAGCTGTACCTACTCGAACCTCTGATTTGAATATGAATAAACAAAAAATAATAACTGTACAGATACAGTTAGTGTAAAATCGAGACAGTTTTGAATTATTATAAAATTTTATCTCTTGTATTAACCTCATAAAAAACTTGCAAATTTGGTTACGTATAATCCGTATGAAAAATTTTATCGAGCATAGTCGTCAAATACAAATTCAAATGCAATCGATCTGTTCTTCTTTTCTAAACAATATCAGTCTCTAGGTCCAGTGGAAAGGCCACATGATGCCCTTACCAGTATTTAACATTTAAATATACTACTCTCTTCGTCTTGCTCGGATAAAATGATGTATATGCGACAGTGTGACATTCAAGATAGAGAAACCAAATGTATATACTTTCTATACATGATGGATACATTCCATCGTTCGACGAATCGAATTCGTGCATGATTGTATTTCATATGTCTACAAACTATGGCGACAACATGATCGTTAGCGAAAAATCTTAAATGACCATTTTTCGTGAGAAACACAACAACATTTTGATCGGTATAAAACGCTCATAGAAAAAGTTTACTGGACGTAATACAGCTACCTTTCTAACTCTACGTAAACATGATGCTTTTTCACGTGCATTCACCGCATCATACTATATAGAATAAATTAGTCAACTCACACAACGAAGGTATGTGGTGTTTGCCTCGCTAATTATAGTAAAAAACATTATATTTATTGGTATACTATGTAATCTGGCAATATAATGTCGAGTTCGCGACGAGTCCCAGTAAACATAAGCCACAAAAGTATTTCGTATCGATTTGCATCGGTATCGATCATATCGATGTCCGTTTGGAACGTTTGTAGTTGTTACTAGACACAAACATGGCCTCGTCAGGCGTTCATACGCTACTGTCCCGTTTCATGAAAACGTTCGTACATAAAAACGATGATTTTCTTTCATTGAGCAATAGTTACGGGCCGTACAAGGAGCACGACATTTTATTGCTCATTTCTTAATGTCACGGCAAGATGCGCGTGAAAAAAATACCACACATTCACAGGTGTAACAATTCACTACACTCACGTACATAATCACTCTATTACCACGCGCACTTTCATATTTTCTTATACTCTATCACTTTCTCTCGCTCTCCTTACGCCACTCATCCAATTAATATTTTTTCTTATTCGTTTAAATGTTTTAATATCTAAAGTGTCATAATGGCTCATCTTGTTTATCGTGACATAGTTTAGTGTACGCCTAGGGACTTACGTCTAACGATACGTTCCGCGGAGGACGACCATGACGAGACAACGATATATATCCTCGGAATCGAAACCCAATCCGGGAAAAATTCTTGTACAACGGAATTACGAAAAAAAGGATTTACGGTGTTTCACATCCCGAGGAGATTTACAACTACCTCACGGCCTACCGCCTAAACTCTATCCTAACCTGTCGTTTTGTATGTTTAGTAGAAAATTTACAATTTTTTCAAACACTTTGTACGAGCAACATCGATGACTTAATCTTTACCTTCAAGTAGTATCTCTAGCTTTTATTCCTTTTTTTTTTTTCTTTTATTTAATTTTTTCTCGATAGATTCACTTAGTTTCGAAAAAAATGTCGCCTCTCGTGACGTCGTGCAGTCGTATAACGTACGTTCGTTTTGTCATTAGTAACTTCTTCTTATCTTCTTGTCTTAGCAAATTTTTAAAGGGAAAAGAAACCTAAATTAATGTCACGACGAAACGTACATATATACGTGACACGTTATCGACTCATCGTAGAACATGTAGTTCTTAGTTCTCTTTAAAGGTTGCGATCACAGTAAAAATAATAATAATATATATATGTATCGGAGAAACGAACGTGTGCTTTCTTGATATATTTGGGATACACTGTTCACAGAACAAAAATACATCGAAAAGGTTTCCTCATTTACGTATAAAACGTATTAATCTCTCGTATAAAATATTGTCCTACTCGACGTATCGTTCGAAACCAAACGAGAAACTTGCGTACTTCTAGTTTACATATTAATAGAACGTGATTGTGTCCTAACACAGATTTGTGCACTCGATAATCGATACGATGCACAAAACTGTGCATTCAGGTTTCCAAGGACCAAATGTAAAAAAAACGAAGGTATTAAAGATTTGGATCTTAGGAAAAGTTGGTCGCGATTGATTCGAGATCAGAGAAGAAGCAATCGCGTAGAATACATAAATGACGCGACACTTCCGTTTATCTGCGTTGTTGTTATACATTGACGGATTAATATAATGGATTACATCGTCTACCATTTAAAATTCTACTTTTTAGTTCTCAACTGGTTCCGTTCTATCCTCTAAACATTTTTTTTTTCTTTTTTTCGTAAGATACCTTTCTCAATTATTTTAATATACTCTCCAAATTGTGAAAATGCTTAATAAATAGTTCGAACGTTGAACGATTCCGTTTTAACTCTATAATATATACTGGATACGTAGCGGGTAGAGATTCTATACTCTTATTTTCAGTCGCAACGTTTGACTCGGTAATAGTCGGCAGTTATTCACGATTGGTCACAAAGGTTGAAAGTCTTGGAGATACCCCTCGCAGTATGAACAAGACTCGTTTCATATTTTATTCCTCTTATAAAGTTCCATGGCACACAAGATCATTGTTCTTGAGGTGCTTTCTCGATGACGCTCAATTTTCGTAAAGATAAGAAAAGAGTCTAAAAAGAACACTTCTTAAATTATCCGCGATCACTGTGGAATTTTTCTTTTTCTTTTTTCGTTTTTTTGGCAGCATTTAACAATGATTGCTTCGAGAAATCTGGTAACGTTTATAAAATTCTCAGCCGTCAAGTAGCTTATGAAATGTTTCCTGTACCATTGCGTACATTTGTCCTCTCCTCTAAATTTTTTCCTTTTTTTGGGATTCATTGTTCGCGCAGGAAATCTGCGGTTAATGTAAAAAAGAACACGGTAACAAAGTCTCCAGGTGTTTGCTGGAGATCTAGCAATAAATACCATAAATCTCCATGGCACAATTAATGTGCGCTGGATGAAAATGACCGTGCGGTACCAGGTGACTCTGCATGTGAGCTGTGTATCAGTCAGTTGGTGGCTCCAGATACGGTATTTCGCTAGTGACATTGAATGATTCGAAATAGTGATTGAGGAACTCGAACGTGGGTCGCTTCTCGGGGCTAGCATCCCAGCATTGTAACATTAATCGGTAAATGCTGTCCGGCAGCGGATGATTCAATGGTTTAGGCATTCGATAGCCTTTATTGATCTGCTCGATTACTTCGCGCCCCTGCATACCTGTAAAATGAAAGAATTATAGCTCATTGGTCAGTTAAAGATAGAAAAATCTAAATATCCTTATTACACAAATGTCACTCATTTGCAATTAATGGTACTCCAAAATAAAATTTACCTACCACTTAAATATTAATGACAAAACATTTTCAATATCTTAAGTAGAGATTAATAAGTTGAAGAATATAATTGCAGAAGAGGAGACGATAACAATTGAAACTGACCAGGATAAGGAACTTGGCCATAAGTGAAGAGCTCCATCAGCAAGACACCGTAAGACCAAACGTCGCTCTTGATGCTGAATCTGCCATAGACAATGGCCTCAGGGGCGGTCCACCTGACAGGGAACCTGCTTCCCTGTTTGGGACAGTACTCGTCGTCCTCGATCGCCCTGGCGAGACCAAAGTCGCATATCTTCGCCTTATTCTTCTCGCCTATCAGAACGTTCCTCGCAGCGAGGTCTCTGTGTATCAGCTGCTTGCTCTCGAGGTGCTCCATACCGGACGCCACCTGTGCGGCAATATAAATCAGATCCTCGAATTGCATGTACTTGCCGTCGCCTGTCCTCAAGAAGTCCAGCAAGCTGCCGTTGCACATGTACTCTTGCACGATGTAAATCGGCTCTTCCTTCGAGCAGATCGCGTACAAAGCGACCAGGTGTCTATGACGGAACTGCTTCATGATCGCTGCCTCCTGAAGGAATGCTTCTGTCGACATGGTCCCTGGTCGCAAAGTCTTCACAGCCACTTCGATTTTATTCCTCCATTTGCCATAGTACACCTCGCCGAAATTGCCGTGACCTAATTTCCGGATTAGCTGTATCTCGTTCCTATTGATCTCCCATTTGTCTCTTAACTCTGGTCCGAGATCCCACATGTCCGGTTGCGGTTTAGGACACGGCTTCGAGAGCACGTGACAGAGACCCAGTGCATTCTCTGGAACGTGCAAGTTAGAACGTTACACAGGAATTAAAAGAAAATAGGTGGAAGAGACGTTTTACTTACTGCTATAAGCCATGACAAGGGCCGGCAGAGTCGGGAATGTCTGGTTGGTGGCAATAAAGAAGCCTCCATTGTCGAGAGGCTTAATCTTATAGTGTTTTACATGATGGCCCCTGCCCTCCTCCCAATCCTTCACGGATAAACTGTACCCTCGTGGATTGTGCTCGCTGGGTCTCACCAAGAACGTCCCTCGGGGATTTTCGTCCACCAGAAGAAGCTTGCCGGCTTCCTTGCGCGAGACATTTTCGAAAAACCAACTGAGGGAAGGAAAGTAAAGCGGGGATGCGATGATCGTTAAAGCAACGTCGAATAGTCGAAGGTTGTATAAACTGCTAATTGGAAGTCGGGCAACTTACTCCTCGCTCTCCACTGAACGTTCGACGGCCACGAAGTTCCAAGGGATGAGACCTTCTTGCAAAGTTGTCAAGTGTAGAACTTTCCACCAGTCGGGCTCGGAGTCGTCCAATACTTCCATACGGTCGCCCTTCACGAAACTGACATCGGTGCTCTCGCGCGCGGTGTAATGGTACAGGGCAACCACGATCTTGTTCGACCTCTGTGAATGCGCTGTTTCGAGAACAAAACCAATGTACAACCACGAGATAGAGGCTATTTAAGGAGCGGCGGAGCCTAATTCCACCGTAGTCGGTGTACAGGTCCGCGATCGAGCTATTTGCGGTCACAGTAGGAACTGATGGAACATCGATCGACAGGTCGGCCACGCGGCCATGAAACATTGGAATTATCTCAAAACAGAATTACGGCTGATTACTCTGTCGAATATTAATGACGAAGTTTCGCGTATAGAGGTTTCATCATCGGTCCAATACATTTTTAACGCTCCGATGGAAATCAACCCACCGCGCCTCACTAGCGCCGCCACGGCACGTTACTCCTGCTTAAGTTCTTATTTCCATTGTCATTGATAGAAAACGGAAAGAGAAGAGAAAACCGTGTCGAGTAAATTCGAATTTTTGAATCAAAACTCTGATGGCAAGAATAATTTGGAATAATTTTAATTAGATCCGAATAATTTTATTCTTTTATATGCTGTAATATCAGTTTTCCTGGGACCACAAGTTTTATTAAGCCTAGTTCGCTAAATTGCAGGCCTATTCCAGCCAAGAATGGGCACGGTAAAATATACCAAGTCGCTTTGAAGATGAAGCAAAAATAAATGAGAGCTTAAGTTAGGGGTCTTAGGCTAGAACTTAAGGTAAAATCGCTATGCTAGAAAATGAAATAAAAGAACATAAAATACACACATGCAGGCTTAACGACAGGCGAGCTTGTTTTACGAGGCTGGTGAGGAATTTGGAGCTTACAAGGTGTCGGCCTCGGTCGAATGATGTCTGCCCTCGCTTGTACACCCCTCTGATTCGGGTCTGCAGTGTACCGGTCCAAGGAACCTCCATTACTGTGTTTCGAGCTTAGCCCTGTGTCTGCTTTCTTGTAACCTGGACAGCGAAGCCAACATTTGTAACGCGAAAGGATGATAAACGACCTCACGTGTGACGTTCACTTCGGATCTAGATCAGAGTTCGCGGAGCGAGCAGAACGTGTCTTAAGGATGAAAATGATATTTTGAAAAATCACACTTCGTGTTTCTTTAAACTTTCTTCATTTTTAAACTCGAGGAATTCAACTTTTCTCCTTGTATGTTAGAAAAGCGAAGCATCAGATTGAATCTCTTCCTGTGCCAGCTCCCAAAGGCAGCCGATGCGAAATGATCATCTCAGATTGGACGATCTGTGTTTGCAGATTGCTTTTTTAATGCAAATGCGCGATAATTAACTCTTTGGAATTATTAGCGATACTATCTAGTAATTAACTACCAAGTAATTAAGCTATTGCACCACTATGGGACCACTGGTAATTAGCGAGACCTAATTCTAGCTTTCTTTTCACTGGCAAAGATGTAGAAGCAAGCAATTATGAATAAACAATTTTACGATTTCAGGGAATTTTTCATTCCAAAAATTGATTGGAATAGGATTAAAAACTGGGAAAGATCAGAAAGAAGTTCGCTGCAAGATACCCCAACGATTCGGAATAGGGTAAGCAATAGCATAAGCAATTATAAATAAACAATTTTATGATTTCAGGAAATTTTTCATTCCAAAAATTGATTGGAATAGGATTAAAAACTGGGAAAGATCAGAAAGAAGTTCGCTGCAAGATGTCCCAACGATTAGGAGACATATTCCCAGTGTCCTGGTGCTAATTTTATTTCGAGTACCTAGAAATCTAGCCTGTACAATCCCATCGGTTTCAACTGATCAAGGCAAGCAATTAAAGTAGGATTAAAACAGCCTGGAATCTCGCAAAAGCTCAATGAAATTGCGTCAAAGAAGACTCAATTGGGATTAAAACCCAGATACACTACATATCTCGAGCCCCGAGATGCATTTAACAAATTGTACGACTGGACCAGGAACACGCCGTGCCGTTCGCAATTAAACAATTTCTTTCTTTCAACCCTCTACCTCCACCTGCAAATTTTCACTCCGTTTCTCTGCCATCCAGCTCGCAACTTCCATTCAAGAGTTTCAAAGAAATACTTAGAAAAAAGAAGAGAGAAATAGAGGAGGGAAGAGGGAAAAGGGGGGCGGGAAGGACGTGAGGCAGAAGTTGCAAAAGAAAACTCATCGCGGTTTCGCCACGAGGATAAAAAGAGAATGGAGGCTACTCACCAAGGGGTTGAGGCTCTTGCCGCTTGCTACAACACTTGCCCATCTTGGATCCCGTGCTCGATGTTCCCCTTTCGATCCTGAGTCTACGCGCCTTCTATACTGATGCGTGCCCCGAGGAAAGTCTCCATCTCGTGAACTCGGGCTGGTACGGCGGCGGCGGCTTCCGTTTCGATTTTTAGCATCACTTTCTTCTCTCCATCGCGTGTTTATTGAATCCGCGCACCTGCAAGGTGAACCAGAAACATCGACCATGATTCCTCCTCGGTGGCTGCTACAATGCCGCGACATTGCTGGCAATGCGTTGTCATAAGTCGCGGTTAAGGATAGGCTGCATCCGTACAGCCTTGGAACATGATGCGGGTTGATAACGTTCGAATTATTATATAGGTTCATTGGCAGGCTCTTAGACCTCTTTTTGCTGGATATATTTCTCCAGTTGCATTCATTCTTTTGCGATTTTCCTGTTTCTTGTTTTCGTCATTTTTGTGGGTGAAAGGAATGGCTGATGATTTTGGGGTGAGAGTTATTATTGTGTTATAAAATTTAATATTCGATGATCAATAGGCGGTATTGAAGATAAATGGAAGATAAACAAGATAGACTTAAATGTCTTTTTAACAGGAGACCTGTCATTTTTTGAGAATTTTTCCGTTTGGTTTGGTTTTGATTAGATAAATTTAATGGAGTTGCAAAATTAAATAATTCAATGATCCATTATAGGTTCCTTATAATAGTTAATAAATCTGGAGATAGTATAACAAATAGAAGGAGTTAAAATCTTTTTAATAGGTGACCTGTCATTTTTGGGAATTTTTTAGTTTGGTTTGGTTCTGGTTAGATAAATTTAATGGAGTTGCAAAATTAAATAATTCAATGATCCATTACAGGTTCTCTATAATAATTAATAAATCTGGAGATAGTATATCAAATAGCAAATATTAATGACGGTGATGATTCGTATCTTAAAATAGTACTAAGTATATATTACTAAATATTACCAAATTTATTAAATTAATTATAATTACATGTTCCCCATAATAATTAATAAATCTGGAGATAGTATATCAAATAGCAAATATGAATGGCAGTGATCTGAACCTTAAAATAGTACTAAATATATATTACTAAATATTACCAAATTTATTAAATTGATTATAATTAGTACTAAATATTACCAAATATTAAAAATAAGTGTATCAATTAATAATCCGACAATTTACATCTGAATACCAATAGGGATAACAATATTTTCCAAAATCTATAAAATTTATAAAATTTATAAAATAAATAATTCTAAATTACTCTGTTCCTTTTTTCATTTATTTTAATAGCAAATATAAAAAGTGCATACTAAATCTTATAAATCTTCCAACATTAGCGATAATACTCTTCAAACAAGCAACGTGAAATTCAGCTGACAAGACCGCCGTATAGCACACGCAGAACACGTAGAGCAGCTATATGTAAATTAGCTAGAAAACTGAATTAAAGTGGGCGATTAACATTAAAGCAGTCGCGTTTTGTAATCCATGCAACTGTCACGAGGAACGAGCGAACCTTCAGGCAGACCTAACGTTTCGAAAGGCTTTATGAAATTGTTTTCGCCGCACCCTAAGTCCCACCGGTGGATCATCGATCACGCTGTATTTAAAGAAGACCTAGGAGCGCCCGCGTTTTCTTGCCTCCCTTTTTCAACGTCATGCATCTTCTTTACCGGAGGGCTCGCGTGTTCCGTTTCGGTGCGAGACAAATCAGGCATGCTGCCTGTGTTTCCGAGTAACACGTTAAATTAGAACGAGCGTAACGGAGGGCACGGGGAATGCTAACTAGCCGATTGTTCTCATTCATAGACGCTGAATACAGCGCAGAGAAAAATGTTCCCTTTCGTCCGTTAGTTGAATGCCTTTTAATCCGTAATTAACACGCCGACGTCTGGTGATAAATGTCACAGATTAATTTTCCTAGATACTTACGAGCCATTAACCCCATTTTGCTTTTCGTCTCGCGTGTAGCTTACGAAAGTCTCGTTATAAATGACCGTGGAATTCTTCGCGGGTGTTGCTGTGTCTAAATTTCCCAAGTATATCACGGTTCGTGGACGTGCATTAATCGGAATGTTGGAAACATAATTGAATTCGGTATCGTTTGCGAGGACGGTAAAAATAATAAACTCCGACGCAGCGAGAAATACGTGGACGTTGATTTAGAGGTTAGAATTTTCGGTGGAAAATTAATTACTGTCTATTTTTTTTGGCGTATTATATTCTACGTTAAAAAAGAAGAAGAAAACATAGAATAACATTTTTTCGTACGAGGCTTCGTTCCCGAGGAAATTTAATTGAAATATTCGCAGGATGGGCTCGCGTGTAATTGAGCCTGGGCTCAACAGATGTCGCCGTAGACCAATATTTCCGTCCACGTCGGCGTTCATAAACATATCCAATGAAACGAATTGCTTTGCATCGGACCTACCGTATTATTCATTTCGTCGATAAGAGACAACGTCCATCAATCTACAGACGCCATTACGCACACCGTTCGCAAACCAGCGAATATTAAAACGTAATTTCCTCCGAAACGGAGCTAGATACGGACAAATTTTATTCCACCTTTTCGATTCGTTTTTTCGCGTACGATCAATTATACTATCCTTTGCACTTCTACGTGATATACAATTCTTTATAATACACGTACGTGCAAGATTCGAACTCGATTTTCTGCCGAACAAAACCGCGCGTAAAATAATATTATTCCGCGAATAATTATCTGCATTTCGATTATACGAGCAGTCGTGTACCCTGTATAACTGTACATCGAGATATAATCCCGTGTGGCAGAAGCCTCAACTTCCATGGGACCTGTTAATTATTTCCAAGAATTAGCTGCCGATACCTGAAGCAAAACACAGGCTTCCCGATTGAAAGCAGTAAATACGCGAGCACAAACTCGGCACTCGACGATACAACGCCGCGGGGATGCGGGTTTTTCCAAGCGGCCCGGATCCTCCGGGACCTGCACGAAAACAAAAAGGAAAGTGACGCTTTCCCTATTCGAACACATTCTTCCACGGATCAGATCGTTTCGACATGCCACAGGAAAGCCGCCGGAGCAACGGGAATAAACCTTTTCTTTTTTTCTTTTTTCATATATAATATACAGGGTGATTCAGGCAAATGTATCATGGAATATCTTTGTTCTGGTTGGAGATAGAAAAAAATGCTAGAAGAAGAAGATGAATGGTTTCAAAAGGACTACAAGCTTATGTAAATGGTTTTCGCATAAGTGGAGGCGCTGCGGTCGTATGAAGATAAGTACCATTTTTTGAAATATATATTTATATTTTCTTTATACACATCGATCCTTCTGTCCATCCTGCGTATAAAAGTACTAGAGACATATAGCCGAAAAATGAATATTTAACGAGATATTTAAGACATTAACTTCATACGGATTTGTGAATCACCCTGTATATATAGTGCGCAGTACGTATGTAACTATCGTCATGATTTTTGAGGCACTTTCGATAGTCTGACAGAAAAATGTTTCCAATGAAAGTTAATCGATATTTAGTTGGCTATCTATTGAAAGAAAGAAAATTCCAAAATCTATCTTTCTTTTATAAAAAGTCAAGGTCACGTTGATTTTTTTAAATGACACCCTATATTTTTGACTTTGTGAGGTTATTACTGACGAAAATACGAATTCAATAACCTATCATACTATGTCCTTCAGATGACCTCGACTTCAGAAATTCAGGTTGGATCAACCTCTAAATGATTATAAATTTATACACATATATTTATGAATGTAAAATGAGATAAATATCAGAAAATATTTTGGAATACCTAAGAAAAATAATGCACAACACCGTTTAAAATATTTCGATCATTTTTCAATCGAGGAGGATCTAGAACTTGGATCTTTCAATGAACAAAATTCAAATATATAATACTTCAAATCAGAATATAAAATAATGACAGACTAAGTAACAATTATTAAATATTAAATTAGTCATGCTATTATTACTAGAACTACCATTACACGCAATATTTAAGCACCCAGTTACAATTAATCTCACTTTCGCCTCCACATCGCCAGGATATAGAGTTTACTTTACTATTTAACCAGTTAGCTGTGATTGACGAGTATACTCGTCATGGGGAAGTGGCAGGATTTCGTGTCACGACGAGTATACTCGTCATGCGTAAAAAGTAGTGACCATTGGCTATTTAAATTGTAATTTTTGCGAAAAATAAAACGATTTTCAATTTTCAATTTGTTTAGAATATTTTGAGGCCAGGCCGGAATGAAACAAACAAATAAAAAATATGAATAATTTGAGATGAACTCGTGCGTCCCAGTATGCACCGGCTGAAACAGCTTATCAGTTCGCATAACGAATTTATTTATGGGCGATGATAACGTTTTTTAGATGTTAGCGTGAAAGGGGCAAAAGCAAAAGTCGGAAAGCTGATTTATGATAGGGTTCCTTCAGGGATGGTCCGCCACGGGACAAATGCGTGACGCTGACCAGGCGCTGGGCCCATTGATGGCTGCTGGCCCGAAGTTACCTAGCTATTTTTCGACGGTCACTAAAATTCATAGATATCCATAAAAACTAACCAATAAGAGAATAGATGTTAACCAAATAAGTAAATATCAGTAATAAAATTGTCAATTTTATAAAATAAACTCATCTTTTTGATGCAATATTTTAACAACGACACTTACTCTATGATTGACGAGTATACTCGTCGTCGCTCGATTTTCGCGACACATATACGTACGCGCTCTCAAAAGGGGGCGCCACAGCGTATATTATTGTCCATTCTACCCCCACAGATATCTCCTGGATTACACTAGCGTGAAGCTACCCAAGACAGCTCTCGTTTCTCAAATCATCAAGTTTGACCGTGTCCGAGCACACCGAATCGAACTTTTTCAATCCACTGCCGGAGTAGCTCGCCTAATTCTTGTTCTCCAGTTTAATGGCCACTTCGGCCATTAATGATCTCTACACTTTTCCTCGCTCTTAATATCTCGTTAATCACACCGTTTTCCAATCTCCATCCTGTAACGCTCATTTCACCCTGTTCCGCGCCGGTTTAATAACAACGGAGCCGAACTTCTGCGCGATCCAGCGACTTCATTTTTACACGCTCTGATAAAGACGTAGAAAAAAGAATTACCACCGCCTGTCAGCACACTTTTTCCGTGAACCGT